AGAGAGAGAGAGAGAGAGAGAGAGAGAGAGAGAGAGAGAGAGAGATTACCTGAATAATATTCTATCATATAATTTCTCCAAGATATATTTCAGCATAGTCTTTCTTTTCACATATTTTTTTATCATCAAACGATAATGTTCCGCAAGCCTTTTATATCCCATCAACTTGTTCATCGATTCATTTGACATAAGCAAATAATACGTGACATTATTATTACAAACCAAGTATGTTAACATTTCTGGATCCCGAGTAAAAATGCATTCGTTTACCTTCTGCTGCCAGAAGCTGTTGTTCAATGTCAACATACAATATACCCACTTTTTCCCCCATGGTAATTTCCTATTACATTGCAAAGACGCATATTATATAAAACGCTTTTAACATATAACTACAATAATATTATTGGGAATGGATTATAAATAGTAACAAACAATATCTCCCTCCCCTCCCTGTTTACGAGAATCAGTAGTACATTTATAAAATTTTAACGTCTACTCACTTTATCGATTCTTCATTCTTTACATATGCATATTTTATAAAGTTTTTATTGTCACTTGTAAGAATGGTGAAATTTACTCTCATTTGATAGAATGCAAGTGTTATATGTTGATAAAAACGCATGTCCACAATTAGTACTCTTCCACAATAACAATATGCGTATGATTTATAAATTACATTTTTCTTGTTTTTCTTTTCTAATTGAAATTTCATCGTGCTTAGATCCATATTTATTTCGTAATCATACAGAATTATGACTTTAATTGATACACGAACACAGATCAAATTTTGCATTGCAAAACATGCAACGCGATTTTATATAGAATTTGATCATTTAATGGCATCATTTTCTCGAAAGAGTCATGAAGAAAAACGAGAAACTTAATAATTTATCTTTGAGCCATTGTAAACTTTTAGCAGGCACTTTATGGAAACTTTAAAAGTAATGTGCTCATTTCAACTTAGATATCTGCAACGGAAATTTATTTATTAACTGAGAGCGAAATGATGTACAGAAAAATTCGCAATGCAGTATCATTGTAATGTAATTTCGTCTTTCATGTAATATAGATAAAAGAACAAGAAATTATATGTGTGTTGTTGGTTATAGAAATATATATGTGCATGTATACAATTATTCTATATATACATATATAGTAAAGATGATCCAAAGGTAAGTTACCATTTCAAATTTACATTTCAAACTTATATTTAAAATTTACTAAGGTTCTGGTGCAATCTGCGAAAAGAATTTTAAACATACCTTTAAAAGAAATCTTTTCATCTTTAAAAAAAATTAAGACTTTAAAATCAGTAACTTTTAGATCATCCTGTATTTATCGTTATATATGTATTATATATACACGTTATTTACTTTGACAAAACAAACAATCATCTTAACATCTTGTTATTCGAAACGAGTAAACAACAACTTAGAGAAAGTACGAAATAATGATAACGGAAATGTTTTTGTTTTTTAAAGAGTATTTGAATACTTGGAAGGTTAAACACCCGGAACAACGCGAAAACACAAAGGCACAATGTATCGCATATTTTATACAAAAATCAAACAATTTAAAAAATAACGCTTCCAGATTACTTCTATAGATATAATGGATAATAGATATAATAGATATTAGACGGATAATAGATATAATAGATATTAGATGGATAATAGATATAATAGATATTTGGCGCACGACGAAGACATTCTTTTGCGGAAGTGAAAAAAAGAACGGATTAATCGTTTGCAATTAAATATGCGGTAACAGACAACAATTATTTTGTATCTTAACCGTTTAAGTTAAAATAATAGTTGGAAATAGAGTATAAAAAATCACCAGCTCAATGTACAGAGTCAGATATCACAAACAGTGCACTTCAACACGCCAGATCGATGATAAAAAAAATATAAACGACAATTTAGATCTAAGGAAAGTTCTAACGAATACAGCCTTCTCCATCGTAATCAAATAATTATACTTTCCGCTTCTGGAGTCTCATTTTATACATTGAACTCTGATGGATATATTGGTGGAGGCTGGGAGAATAAATAACAGTTTCTATGTCTTACCTTTTCGAGAAGTCACGGCAAACTAAGAACAATGTCAAAACTTCTTATGTCCATATATATAACTATAAATGTTAGATAATATGATCAAGTTACAGTGTGGTCGCAATGTGATATCTCCTATAAGTAGATACATTCGTGCAAACAGACCAAACAACTCTCCAAATAACTAATATACAATAAACACTTATCCAAAAAAGTTACTTTCGTAATATTATATATACACTTTAGTCCCTCAATATTTACTTTATACAGTCCAACTTACTTTCATAGGAAAGGAAAGAAGAAGGAAAAAGTGTGTATGCAAAAATGTAACATAGTTGATGGTACTGACAGTAATAACAGTATCAATTTTTAACACATTACTAACCGATCGAGTAGATCTACACGTTTCACGATGGATTATTGCAGCCTGATTTCTCGATGATATAAAAAAAAAAACACGACTGGTTCTCAGATTTTATAGTATTTTGACTCCTATAAATTACACAGTTACATAAAAGTTTAAATGGCAGTATTTTATTGCGACTCGTAAAAGAATAGGCGACACTCAAAGCCTAGAGAAGTGCAATTCATACGATTAATAATGTAATAAGGAGTTTGGAATAGCTTACAATTTTTTTTCTGCGATTTCTAAAATTTGCTACTTTATACATCTCGCGGAAAGAAGGTACACATTTCTTATCTCATTTACTACAAATATCACTATAAATCTGCAATATCGTAAAGTGAGTGTTACGAGTATCGTTTATTCGACAAATACGATCAAAGCAACTAGAAAGTCTTTATCTTAAATATTATACCAAGTCAACTTTGGTCAATAAAAAGTTTTTTATTTATTTATCGATGAATTCGATGGATCATGACAATCGCTGCTTAAAATAGCAATATTAGGCGAATGATATAAATATATATATAACCATATTTATGCAATTTATTTAATATTAAATATTTGACAAAACTATGTGTTCCATAGGATACTTAATTGATATTGAAAATGTTCTCTTTTTTCAGATTTGCCCCAGCATGGAAACACCCTTCGGGCCATAGTCGGACTCGGTAAGTTTATGAAAAAACACGATTCGATTATATTATAATGATAAATTTCCAATCAACCAATATTATAAAAGCGATTCGATAATGATAAATTTTCAATCAACCAATATTATAAAAGCATTAGAAATTCCAAAACGTTCGCGAATGTGACTTAAAAAATGCCTCTCCTTACTGAAACATTATTTCATTACGCTTTGGAGAGGACGTAGTTTTTACAATGCTTCCGACTTATGAAAGCGACAATATTGAATAATAATAAATAATAAACTGTGACAGAAAATACAAATTTTGGACGCAAAATCACACTATAAAATATATCATAATGAGAGCACACGATGATCAACAGTTAACGAAATCTACTCAGAATTAGCCAAAAGAAGAAGGGCATTAGACAATAATAACGTTTTAAACCTTATGTATTTTTACAAACTCGACAAAAATTATTCTATTATTATTATTTAACTGAGATATTTTCTACTACCCATTGTTATTCTCCTGACCTTGAATCTTCAGCAGTGTGTGCTAAAAGCACCGTCCATTTGTCAAGCAAAATAGAATTAGTATTTCAAGAATATTAATATCAGTGCTTAGATCACAAAATTTTTTTATTTTATCCATAATGGCATTGCATATTAAATAATAATAACAAACTTATTATAAAATATACACATATTTACTTATAATACGAAAAAGAAACACAGACATATACAATTTCGGCTACAAATGATGTAACACATTCATACAGTCATAAAAAATATATATTATATAAAATATGTACATTATATATATACATAGTCAGAATTTATATATATTTATATACATGTATTTCGTAGTTTTATATGTATATATGAATATGTAATCGATATATGTATATATATATAAATAAATAGATGGAAACATATTACACGCACAATCTTCAGAAGATTAATCTTAAAAGTAATGAAATAATTTGGACAAATATAGACATAATAAATTATCTTATTTATAAGTATGTCGTGAATTCGCATGTCGCCTCGACTAAGTTGATGTTTTTGATCTTATCTATTTTAAAAAAAATACTTATTTGTAAGAGAATGTATTTCTTGCTTTCGTGCCTTTACTAACTGCTCGAATATCCTTCTCTCTGGTGCCATACTCTCCGGAACGTCTTTTAAATATTTTCCCGCCTATAACAAATAATTCTTACATGTATTGCCAATTATAAATAATACATAAGTAAAGTATAATAAAAAATCGCAGATTCTACAATAAATCACATTTAATTAATCATAAAACGAATGATCATATATCGCATATTAGAGAACATTTAGAATGAATAAGCAGAAGTAAAAACTAAAATAGAGAGGATGTAATCGCAAAATTTACCATTTGCAATTTGGTAGGAGGGAGACTTAATATGATATCACCCCATAGCGTTGTTGCATTGCTTATTCCAAAGAATCTGTAAATTTAATGAATTTAATAACATAAAACACTTATCATAAATAGATACAATTTACTCCGACTATTGCAAACTATGACTGTAATTCAAAAGAGATTACCTTTTTAATATACTTTCAATATTCTGCAAAACGTATCGTAACACGTCATTTTTTCCCAAGTGCCTTTTTAGAGTGGAACGGAAATGTTCAGTGAGTTTCTCGTCATCCATCACTTTAAATACATTGTCGTCTTTTGTAAGCACACTTATATAATATGTCACGAGAATGCTATGATCAGTACAAGCCAAATATTTGAATACATCTGTTTCATTATTTTTAAAGAATCCAGTCATCAATGCATGCCAACCCTGTATATGTAATTGCTTCATACCCATACAATATACCCAGTCCTTCCACCATGGTAAAATTCTAAGAAAAACAAAATAAATGAAAGCTTTTACCAAAATTGAATTCATTATATTATCCCTCGACTAGTGGAGCGATCTCGAGAGACAACAGCAAATGCGTTTTCAAATATATTGTAAAGAAAATCACACTCACTCCGTAGAATTTGTAACTTTTGCTTGCAATTGAGCAGTAGCGGCTTTTAAACACTCTTTAAGGCCGAATTTGCAGGCCCACCGTGCTGCTAATAACCTCAACGATTTCGTCATCTCATCATCCCCAGGAAATTCTTTATATCCTATATTCTTAAGAAGACTATCCAAATTTTCCAATATGGATGCCTGAAAGAATATTAAGTGTATAATATTAAGTTACTAAAACAATTCATGCGAAAATGCGCACTCTTCTAAGAATATTTTTATTTTTTTTGTTATGGGAATTTCATATTCACGCATTCCTAAAACATCTCCGTCATCTAGTAACACCGTAAAGCCGAAAGTGTTTGCTTCTTAACTTATCTGGTAGAATTTGCTACTACTTACTTTGAAATATCTACCTACTGGAAGCTCCAAATAAGAGGACATGTGCGATAAAATGTTGAACATGGGATACCAAGGTATATAATGCGTTTCTCGCCTTAGATATTTAATAAGATTTAAAAACGTAGAAAGAGGAAGTTTGCCTTCCATTACAAAATAGTACGCATCATCGATGAGTTGAGCTCGATTCTGCATAGGTATAGCTTTGTAATCCTCATACAGCAGAAAACTCGCGATCCTCTGCCAAAGCGTAACTTCATAATTGACGCGATAGTATCCTGCCATATCATATATTACTCTTATTAATTTGTTTAACACATTCAATCGTGTTTGCTAAAAAATATTTGGAAATATTTGGACTTCTAACTCTTCTGGATTTTTAATGTATTGCTTTGAGTCATAAGTAATGTCTTTTTCTTTGGTAAATTTTGAAATATTTTTTTAAGCAGCTATTGATTGAAAGATTTCAAGTTTATTTATGGTTTTTCGTATAAATTTTAGTTCAGCTTCCACTTCTGCGACAACAGCATCTTTTAAATTATATGTTTGTCAAGAGTGGAGCTTATCATCAAGATTGAAATTCTTGTTAAAATCTTGAAAGCTGAACCAACACTGATATTTTTTAAATGTTTAGAACTTCACTACTTTGCATGCTATGAATATTGCTTGTCACATTAATTGTAGTGTTACTTTTTGTAACTTCACAGTAACATTGCGTACCGTAAATGTTTTCCCGAAAAATTCAGTTCCCGTTAAATTGACGCTAATAACTTAACTTCGCTGAAATAACCAAGAAACGCATTAAACGCACAATTGGCAAACTCGTAATGTGAACAATAAAGTAGCGATCGAATAAGCCGACGCACTGTACAAGTTGTACTGTAGTACTTGGAAAAACAATATTACTTATGTATATCCTTTATTGTTCCCCAGTACAATATTACTTACGACATAACCCAATAAATGAATTATATTATCATAACTATCGCGTATTGTAGCAACAAAAATATTACAACTGCATCAATTAATACGTACCAATTTGTTGTAAATTGACTATGACGAAATTGATATCAGGAAGTCCAGGGAAGACATTAATTCCGGGACATTGCATCCAAGTAATATCCGAAATACTGTTAGAATCTAGATTTGATTGAGTGTAAATACTTATAGGTATATGCCACTTGGTGTCGTTCTCACAAGATGCTTTAATACGGGTTGTATTATAATCACAAGAAACGTTCAACTCAGGATAATGTCTTTGCCGTAACCAACCATCCATTGTATCTGATATATTAAAGGATGCTTCGCTTTTTATATCGTAGGTATCTTGTAGGATCTTCCAAAAGTTCTCATTCAAGGGAGATATGCTAAATTGTTAAGATTGGAAATTAACAACAAAACGAATCAGTCGTCAATATATATATATATATATATATATATATATATATATATATATATATATATA